GGGAAACCCAGATGGAGGAAGGAAGAAACACTCTTTTCTGCACTTTCCATCAACTATCACAAGTATCAAACAGAGATAAAATAATCAGTACCATGGCCAGTGTGTACAACATCTTCAAATCTTTTGGTTCCAGAAGCTAAACATTTTTTGTTAGATGGTCAGCAATTCTGCATTTGAGTTCCTCTAGAACATCTGGATGAATATAAACTGGAACCAGATATCTGTCAATAATAGTTTGTAATTAATTTCCGTAGCAGGAGTACACAGCCTGCAACGCAGGGGCTGTGTATGGCCACCAGATATTTCTCATAGTCCCATAGGGATCTCATAGAAACATAGAAACAGAGCGAGTCAGAAGGGGCCTCCTGGGCCATCTAGTATGACCCCTGGCTCCAGCCGGCTCCGCTCACAACATGCCGACCATGTGCATGTTCAGCCTGTCCTTGAACACCCTCACCGATGGGGCCTCAATGACCTCTCGTGGAAGCCCATTCCACACCCTCGGGGTCCTAAGTGTAAAATATTAATTAATTAAATTTGTTTCCCACCTCTTTTCATTTCAAGGAACTCAAGGAACCTCCCATTTTTGGGCAAGGTGTTGGAGTGGGTGGTGGCAGGAAAACTCCAAGCACTCTTGGATGAATCTGATTATCTGGACCCATTTCAGTCCAGTTTCAGCCCCGGGTATGGTACTGAATCTGCCTTGGTCGCCCTGTATGATGACCTGTGAAGGGAGAGAGATGGGGGGGAGGTATTCCTGTTGGTTCTCCTGGACTTCTCAGTGGCTTTCAATACCATCGACCATGATATCCTTCTGGATAGGCTGGTGGGACTGGGAGTAGGAGATGCTGCTTCGCAGTTGTTCCGCTCCTACCACAATGGCCAATTCTAGAAAGTGCTGGGGGATTTTGGCTCTGTGCCATGGCAGCTATGCCATGGAGTACCGCAGGGTTCCATTTTGTCCCCCTTGCTATTTAATATCTACATGAAACTGCTGGGAGAGGTCATCAGGAGGTTTGGGCTGCATCATCAGTATGCTGATGACACCCAGCTCTACCTTTCTTTTTCAACCAATCCAGATGAGGCAGTGGCTGTGCTGAACCGGTGTCTGACCAAGGTAAAGGGCTGGATGAGGGCCAATAAACTGAAACTCAATCTAGACAAGATGGAGGTCCTGTTGGTGGGTGATTCCAGCTCCTGGGATTCCAGCTCCAAGACTTGGGCCTTCTCCTGGACGGGGTTGCACTCCCTCTAAAAGACAGGGTCTGCAGCTTGGGAGTGCTCCTTGACCCGAAGTAGTCCTTGGAAGCTCAAGTGACTGCGGTGGCGAGGAGCACTTTCCTTCAGCTTCGGCTAATCCATCAGCTGTGTCCCTACCTGGAGGAAGATTGCCTAGCAACAGTGACACATGCATTGGTTACTTCCCAGTTGGATTTCTGCAACGTGCTTTATGTGGGGTTGCCCTTGAAGACAATCCAGATACTTCAGATGGTGCAAAACAGAGCAGTCAGGATGCTGTCGGGGACTGGGTGTTATTCTCTTATAACCCCAGTTCTCTATCAGCTCCACTGGCTTCCCATCGAAGTCTGGGCTCAATTCAAGGTGCTGGTTATTACCTATAAAGCCCTAAACAGCTTGGGACAAGGATACCTATGCCTTTTTCCCTATTTGCTCTCCCGCCCCTTGAGATCAGCAGCAGAGGCCCTCCTCCGGGAACCCTCTGTGAAAGAAGTTAGGAGACAGAGTACCCGGTGGAGAATTTCTCTGCGGTGGTGCCCCATCTATGGAATGCGCTCCCCAGAGAGGTCCGCCTGGTACCGTCATTATATGTTTTTCAGTGCCAGGTTAAGATCTTTTTATTCAATCAATATTTTAATAAGTTTTAATATGGTATTTTTAATATTATATTTTTAACTGCAGCCAGAGTGGGTTGATTTGTTTATGTTGATTTTTATGTTGGCATTTTGTTACAATTTATTGATATTGATATTTGTATTTTATTATGTAAGCCGTCCTGAGGCTTTTGCAATAGGATGGCATGTAAATATCACAAATAAATAAATAGCACAAATAACTAAATAACTAAATAACTAACTAAATAAATAAATAAAGTAGCTTACATAAATCTCCTTCTCTTCCTCTCAATCTTGTCCTCACAACAACAACTCTGTGAGGCAAGCTGGGCTGAGAGTCTGTGACTGGCCAGACACCCAGTTGGCTCTGTGGCTGAGCTGGGTTGAGAACCCAGATCTCCTGAGTTCCAGTGCCCCACACTTAACCACTATGCCGCACTAGCTCTCTATCTCCTCATCAAACACACCAATTACCATACTGCCTCTATAATCTGGTCCTTTCTCCAGAAAAAAATATACAGATCTTCTCCTGGCACTGCTGTCTTCACGATCACGGGTATGATTGCATGTGCACAGGTGGAAAGATGAGAAAAGTTGGGTGCCCTTGGTCCAGACCTTCATCTCCGATCTTCATATGTCTATGTTCCTCAGGGTCCTCTTCTATGAATATCAGCTCTTGCTGGTGCTTCACCTACTTCTTTTGAAAGGGAGATGGACATTTAGCTTCTTTGTTTCCCTTTGAGATGTTTCTGATTGCGGATGAACTGAGGCTTTATTTTGTGATACGGAGCCCTGGACATGTATGCATTCTCGGCAATTGTTGGTGGTAGATAAGTGCCAGGAAGCTGTGATCTATCTTGTTCATCATGCCCATGAGCTACTGAAGAACTCCCTGTGGTGAATTCTGATGAAGAACTGCATGGAACACTGGCAACACCATGAAGCTTTGCAGAAAATGGGGCATTTTTAAGGAGTGTCAGTTGAAGGAGGATTCTCTCCCTATATCTTTGAGGGCTGTGGTTCATGGTGTCATGGATTACCCCACATCCTACCACGGCAATAACTCAAACACACTCATCCGCTGAAATGACTGGGAGCCTCCAAGAGAAAGCTTCCCCTTTTCCCAACAGCAGCACCTGTCCTGTGTCTCCATGAAGGTGGGTGATGCTCATCAAGGCCAGGGAGAGGACAAGAGGTAACTCCCATCTCCATACTCCTCAGTCCCAGTCCTGATCACCTCCCATTTGTTTTGGTTTTCTGCTTGTTTTACAGAATCGTGAATTACATCTCCTTAATTACACAATTGCAGCAGAATGTTACGCAAACCATCTTCCAAAAGCTGGACAGCCTTTCCACTGTAATTAAGCCCATGCTTTTTCTTATGCATCATCTCTAAAATAGCTAAACAAATATACAAGCAAATGACAAGGAAAGTGTTTCAGCCAATATTACTTGGTAGCCAAACTGCTTCCTTTTACCATTTGTAACCTGGGCATGAACAGGTCTTAGCCCCAACTAAATTATAGTGGAACAAACCCGAGTCAGGGGTTCACATGAAGTTGACTTAGGACGTGCAAACAGGTATCCTCAAACACTCCCACGAAAAAACAAACAACCTGTACGTGCTGTCTACATACTTTGGGATTGCATCAAGTTCTTTCATTTGCACATCCCTGTGCCTGTACATTCCCAAAGCACATCTGCACATTGCTAAAACCAGGAAACTAATGTAGGGAGTTTGTGGCAGAGAAAACAACTCATAAAGTTTTAAGAGGCACAGAAGTGGTTTGAGTCAGCCCCCTTCAAGATGCACCACCAAATGCAAAAACAAACAAACAGAACTCAATGAGCATTCACAAAGTGGTTTGCTTATCTCCAGGATCTTTCCCTATAAATATGCCTCACTCTGTTCTCCTTGGAAGGTGCTTTCTGAAGATGAGTACACCTCCTAGTTGCTCTCTGCGCATTCAATTGGGCCTCCTTCTTCTGCTGACACCTCCCCATTGGGTGGAGAACAGATGGGGCTGGACTGTGGCTGAGGATTCTTCATCCTCTGGAAGCTCTTCCACTGACGGT